TTCTTACACATATGGTTCTTATGTATACATATGGGGAAATACATCATGAATACTGAATGAAAGGAAAATACTTTCAGGAAATATATATATATAAAATTTGAAATAGGCTGGGGGTATAGCTCAGTACCATGTGTGAGGTCCTGGACTCAACCCCCAGCTCCATACACACATACACACTACTCCAACACCCCTTCAACCTTAAAAAAGCTTTCCTCCAACAAAATATTGAAATGAAGCAACAGAATAAGACATTACAACATAAGCAAATGAAAACCAAATACTTTCTTTCTAATATATTTAGCTGGATATTTAGCAAGTACTTGGATCACCCACACACATATGAATGCACTCGCACTATATGGTCTATACTCAGGTCTAGACAATACATTTGTCAAGGAAGGAGTATGGAGAAAATACAAGCATACAAGCATGGCATTGGCATAGGGGAAACAACATCCTATGGCAAATATATCAATGCAAAAGTCTATTGCATCTATTAAAAATGCAGAAAACTTGTAAGAAAAATACAGGAGCCAAATTTTGAAAGACAGTACAGAAAGGGAATAGTAAGGACAATTTGCTAATAGGCTTGCCAGGTCACTCTTGGGCCTGGAGCTCTGAATTCCCAGGAGCTTTGGATTCCAACAGGTACGGTTTAATGCCTCCTAAGTTTGGTGCCTGTTCACCCAATTGGAGAGAGATTGGGGCTCCAGGATGGCCTTTTCCTGGAGTGAGAGATCAAAGGGCAGCTCTTGCCTAGTCCTTACCCCTTTCCAGACCAGATGATCCTGATACTTTTATTTTCTAAACCAAACTTCTACACTCACGTTTGGTATAGGTCCGAGTGAGTGAATCTTGTGGGGAGGGTGTGGCCACCTTTAAAATTTCTGAAGTTTGGAAGCTGCTTTGGTGTTGATTTGAAATCATTTAGTTAACAGCTTCTGCATTGCTGCCAGGCCCCGTGTCAGCTTCTATTCACTAAGACTTTCAGGGGGATATTGGATTGAAAACTGCACTGAAGGAAAAGCTGTGTTTCTTTAATGGATTTGAACGTCTTGAAATGTATAAACGTGGAAAGACAGAGACAAGCTTTAGAAACTGCAGCTCTGGCGGGAAGCTCTTCTTGGAGGTTAGGCGCGGAGGGACTCAGGCTCTCTCTAGAGCACCATCAGGGCAAAGCAGCAGTTTTGGCAATAGCCTTATTTTGTACACGGACACACGTTTTGTTCACCAAACGTGACTTTCACAGGACACACGGACACATAAACTGTTTTGCGTATGAACACATAGATCAATGCAGATGTTCTGCACAAGCATATATTTTGCATAGGGACAGACACAAACACATTTTGCACATGGACTCGTGTTTGCACAGGGCAACATATTTGCTCACGGACGCATGTTTTGTACACAGACTTAACGCTTGCGGCAGCCGGCGACTCGGGCACTGCGCCAGGACCGCGGAACTACAACTCCCGGCACGCGGCCACCTCCGGCGGACGCCGGCTCCTGACAGGCTGCTCCCGCCCGGCGCCCTGGCACCGCCCGCCCGCCGGTTCCGCACCGGTTCCTGCCCCGTGAATTGCCGGGCGGTGAGGCGGGGGTGCCCGGCCCGGGAGCCGCATGGAGCCGCGGGGGGCGGACAGCTGCTTCCTGGGCGACGTGGGTATGTGCGGGGCGCCACCGGCGCGGGGCAGGGAATGGGGAGCAGGTACCGCAGGAGGCGATTTGGGGGACGGTAGACGCGCGTCTGATGGCCTTCATCCCGGAGATGGGGGACGCGCCCTCCTTGGAGCTGGTTGTCTGGGACGGTTAGGTGGCAGGGCGCGGATGGGGCAGGGCCCTGGTCATTCCGAACATCTCAGACTCGCTCTCTTGTCCGGCGGGTACCTGGCACCTGACCCGCGCATTGCAGGGCTGCCCAGCGGTGTGACACACGGTGTGGGCGTTCAGAACCGCAGCCCACCGGAGTGCAGCGCGCTGAGGAAGATGCAGGCGCGGACGGGTGCACTGGCGCAGACGAAAGGGAAAAGTCTTAGATGATAAATTTAGCTAAGAGGGAATTGTAGGCATAGGCAGGCAGAGGTATTTTAATTGGTCTTGCAAAGTGACGTCCTTCAAAATGATCAAAGGCACGAGTAGCGTCTGTGCACCTTCTACTCCAGTTGAGGGGCAGAGCTTGGGAAGAGACCGCAGGGACCGTTTGGCTGGGCAGACACCAGCCCACTGTGGGAGCGAGCCGACTCCCAGGCGCCTGCGAGGCCGTGGGCGGTGTCCTGAGCATCCTTCGGACACACCGGCGGACAATGTCCACTCCCGAATGAGGACACCCTCGGGTGAGAGAGGTGACCTTAATTTTACACAGAACCTTCTTTACCTTTTGGGTAGCCCAACAATAAAATGCATTCTAAAGCAAAAGGACATTGTTGGGGGGGGGATGTTTCTGCCTGTGAAGTAATAGTATGGCAAATGAAATAAATGGTGACAGCGCTTTGAAACTTGGGAAGAAAGAAAAAAACTTCAGGTGTTTTTACACTAGTAAAAATATTAATGCAAGCAACAGGGAAAAGTCTGAAGTGGTAAATTCAGCTAAGAGGAAATTGTAGTCACAGCCAGGCAGAGATGTTTCAATTGATCTTGCAAAACAGCCTCCTTGAAAATGATCAAAGGCAGGAACAAGTTCACTTGTTCACTTGGCCTTCCACCCCAGGCTGGTACAAGACTTTGACCCTGACCCTGACAGTGTGATCTGTGTTCAGTGGACTCAATTGAATATTCAAGGAACAGCTAATCACTGAAGCCTATTAAAACATACATTTTATTTTGTTCAGGGTCAGAATAGTCCGGTGTCACTTCTGAGCATGTTTTCTGGGTACTTTGTTAAAGAATGTGTCTAGAGAAGGAAGGCATTTCTAAGCTAATGAGTGAGTCATTTCTGGGGCTCATGGGTATGTTTGAAACCTGTTATTTTTTATTTACTTTATCTCTCCAAAACTAAGGTCTGCTGACATTTCATTTCCAATCCCAGTGAATAAGCTGAGTGTATTGGATGCAAAATACTAATGCTATCCCAGCAAAAGTGGAGCCTCAAGTAGGAGCTTTAACCCCTTTTAGCATTCTGACCTCAATTTTTATGTATTTATTTTTTGGTACTGGAGATTGAACCTAGGTCCTTTTCACAGAGCTATATCCCTAGCAATTTATTTTTATCTTTATTTTGAGACAGGGTCTTGTTAAGTCACTAAGTTGCTCAGGTTGGGCTCAAATTTGTGATCCTCCTGCCTCAGCCTTCTGGAGTGCTAGGATGACCTCATATTTTATACCTGTAATATACTCTAACCAAAACGTATAGATTTTCCATCTTTAATGTAAGACCTCACAGAAGTAATGATTACAAAGTCTTAGAATGTGGCCTTTTCAGGAAGTATGAAGAATTTAAGGATTCATATATCTGTTCCCCAGCTCACCAAATTCTCCCGAGCACACCCACAACTGCTGTCTTCCAATGCACTTGTCTTTTTGTTTGTTTATATGGATTTATTCTTCCTCTCCCTCTTACTCTAAATTTAATGAGATGTTTGGGGAGAGGGACAGAGAAGATCCATGGTGTTCTCTGGAAATGTCCCCAAGCTCCAACGTTCTTTACTTCTGTACAGAATTTTAAAAATGAGAATCCAATAGGGCCATAATCTAGAGCATTTTTTAAGGGATAGAGAGATATGGGGAAGTTATCCTAAAATAGGAATTCAAAGAAGACTTCTGACAAACAAATCAGAAATGCTACCGGGCCTGGTGCACATGCCTGTAATCCCAGCACCCAGGAGGCTGAGGCAAGAGCATTGATTTGAGTTCAAGGCCAGCCTGTGCTAAATAGTGAGACTCTGCCTCAGAAAAACAAAGCCAAAAAAGAAAAAAAAAAAAGAAAGAAAGAAAAAAGAAAAGAAAGAAAACAAAACAGAAAAACAAATGGAGAGTGGGAAAAGGTAACAAAGGAAGTAATAGTTATAGACTGTCTTTTAAGTCTGACTTTTTTAAAGTACAGTTACAGACTACACTTTTGTGAAGGCAAAACATTGTATATCATTTTCTGATTATCTCCATAAAAGGGCCCTGTGAAACATTACCTCTGATTGTAGGAAAACTGAGGCATGGATGGTTTAAAATGAAAACCTTCCTTATGTCCCCGTGGGGAGACTAGGAAAACGGGTCAGAGCTCATGTCTTTGTAAGGCAAACCTCAGTTGTGCTATACTTTGTGCTGGGGACTTGGAAACCAGGGGAAGGCATTTCTCCACCATCAGCCTCTTGGGACAGGTAAAGGCAAGGGAAGGCATCAAGGTAAATCGCTGAGCGACTAAAGAGCTCGGGAGGAAAGGCTGGGGCTTAAGGCATTCCCTCCTTTTAATTCTGTGTGTTTTCCGCAAGATCTTCCATGGAAGAAGTCATCTGTCGTTCATCAACCATCCACTTTCTCTCCTTTTTCTTGGTCATCTTGCACCTCTTAGACAGTACACGTTCACTTTTCTCTCTTTGTCTTTCACTTTTTCTGAATCATATGGGATTTTGACTGTTTTATTCCTGTAAGAAGTCAAACATTTTATATTTAATTTTTTACCTCATCGGATGCATCACACTGTATACCATTTGACCTCAAATTAACTGGCAAAGAGCATCTGGAGATTCATAATTAAAACATTTAAAAAGACATTGTTGAAAAATATCTCAAAAGGCCACAAAAAACAGCCCCAAGTGTTAGGTAAGGGTTCCTACAAATAAAAATTAAGAGACATATTTTCTTTTGGGAATCAGAGTGATGGCTAAATTCAAGTCTGCTGAAATTTAAATGCAGACTGCAGGTTTAGAGTTTGATCATGATGATTAACACCATTTAGTAGGCATCCACTTTAGGCCATTCTTGCTACCAATATTCTCTTTAGTTAGCACAACAATCCTGCAGAAGGGTGTGGTTATCCTTAAGGTCCGCTAGGGCAAAGAAGCTCCTCTGGCTGTCCTTAGGAGGTTACCGCCCGCCCTTGCACTGGTGTGTCGGCCTTGTATTGCAGTTTAGGGAGCAGGCTAACCATGAACAGATGGTGCACCTGGGTGTCCTTTCCTGGGAACATCAATTGTGAAGGATTTCTGAGGTCCTTCTCCGCTCTACCACTCACTGTTATGTGTACAAATCTTAGCTTTGGGGTCCTTGGGTGATAAGTCACTCAAGGCCTTGGACCTTTGCTGAGTACTAAAGATGAGCCCCTTGAGAACCCCCATCCCCCTCTGCATCCAGTGTCCATTCCTGGTTCTTCCACAGTGCTTTTGCAGCATATGTGGTTGGCCACCTCCCTCCATCTACATTTGCAGATGGGGCGTGTCTGTAGATTATCCCTCATCATTTCAAGAATGTTTATCCCTCATCATTTCAAGAACCTGCTGATGACATTTCTGCAGCCAGGACCTCAGATTACCTTTGGTGATTTACTGTGAATGAAATTCCTCAAATTACCTTAGGTGATTTACTGTAAATGAAATTCTTCAGATTACCTTAGGTGATTTACTATGAATGAAATTCCCAGCCTACATGACATTTAAGAATGCATCTTTGCCAGGTTAGTGGAGCATGCTTGTAGTCCCAGCACTCAGAAGACTAAGGCAGGAGGATCACGAGTTTGAGACCAGGCTGGATGGCATAGCAGGACCTTGTCTGAAAAACCACAAAAAACTGTATTTCAGATGTTTGAGTTTCATCCAAAGCCAAATACTGGGTCAACTTTGTCTTTTCTTTTTTTTTTTTGCATTTAAAAAATTTTATTTGTATATTTTAGATATACATAATGATAACATCCATCTTAGGGAATGTGTACCTGATACATCTTGCTTCTTTTTTCCCTATTCCCCTTCCTTCCCTTCAACCCCTCTTCCTCTCCTTAAAGATTTGTCTCAAAGGTGTCCTTGGTGGTACTTGAAAATGCCTTTTGTTAGAGCAGAGCTGGTGCTGGGAGAGGTGCATTATGGGTCACAGTCAGAGTCAGGTCAGGTCCACCACAGAAGGCCCCAACAGCAGTGTGCAGGACGGTTTCGGAGAGTTCTGCGCTCTGTAGTGAGCAAGACTTGGGCCAGCTCCACCCTCCCTCAAAGTGCAGGAGTGACTAAGTGCAGGGGGTGCTGGAAAACTGGGACCAGAGAAAAAAAGAAACAAAACTCAATCTCTGATTTGCTGCTTTTCCTGGTGTAAATACCCTCACTGTGGCTGTCCAGCCAGTGGATTTCTGTTTAGCAGAGCACTCTGTGGAACTGGCCGTGGCTCACCACTTATAAAGAACACAGGGCTCAGTCTCAGAGGACCGCGGGAATGAGCAGGTAAACGAGGCAGGGACTCAGTCAGCCACTGGGGACTAAGACAAGAGAGGAGTTACTGGGTCTGGAGAACCAGGAGGGGCCTGTGTGGAACAAAAACAGAGAGAACTGCACAGGTGCTCCAAATAGGGCGCATATAAAGAGTAAAAATGATAAGGAGCCTGGCATAGTCACATTATTTGTCACGAAACATTTACAAAGTAGGAGGAGGAGGGGAGAGGGAGGAGAAGGAGAAGGAAGAGAACAAGGAGGAGAAGGAGGAGGAGGAGGAGAAAGAGAAGTAAGGAGAAGGAGAAGTAAGGAGAAGGAGAAGAGGGTAGGAGGAGGAAGGCCAGGAAGGAAAAGGTGCAGATCAGCTCTTGGTTCAGAGATGGTAGAAGGAAGGGCAGGTGGGTCACACACCAGAGGCTTCCTGAGGAGTAGACATTCCATGAGGTCTTAGTGGATGAGGAGGAATTTACTAACTTGGCTGGAATGGGTGAGACGAGGCAAGGGAGTGAGAGGGTGGGCCATCCAGCAAGGGAAGAACAGCATTCACAGCATGGAGGCGTGAGACTGTGTGACAGCCTGGACGGTGTGGAGTTGGGTGAGTGGAGGGACTAAAAACAGTCGCTGGGACTGTGTCATGGCAGGTTGAATACCATGCGTGCAATTTTATCCTGCAGAAAGGAGCTCCTGAAGAACCGTGAGCAGGTAGCCCATGACTGACTTGTGATTTAGCTGCATTAGAGGGAGGGGATGGGAGTGATGGAAGACCAGTTATTTGGCAAGGACTTAGGTGCAGAACTCAAGTCCCAAAGGCAATGTGCTGAACAGTTCAGGGTCTCACATTTCCCCCAAGGGAGGTGGTGCTTGGGATCAGGAAGAGAGGCATTTGTCACAACTGGGGTCCAGGCACAGGACCTGGGAATAACCTGAAGTCAGGCCTAGCCAGCCAGTTTAAAATTGACTACATTTCCTGTGCCCACTTTTCTGGGGTTCAGGGATGGATTTAAGGATCCTATCCACCTGTTACCCTTTGCCTTACCTCTTACTGGGGATGTAACCTCTGTGGTACTGGCTGCTTGTCTTTACATAGAGAATGGTTCATTCTGTTTATTGTGCCCTTCGACGGACAGAAATTTCTGCCTCCCTCCCCGTCTCCCTCCTGCCCTCCCTTCCTGTTTTCTTTCCTTCCTCACATATGCTGCTTCTGAACTCTGTCCTCATTTATTGCTGCTAAGACAACTGCAGCTGTTGTTTATTCACTAGAAAATATGGTTACTGTTTTAGTTACTTTGTCATTGCAAGGACAAAATACCTGACACCCACAAGTTGAAGGAGGAAAGGTTTATTTTAGCTCACAGTTGAAAGCAGTTCCAGTCCATAGTTGGCTGGTTCCAAGGCAAGGCAGTGTGGTACAGAGGCATGGCAGAGGAGCAAATCCATGGCATGGCGGACAGGAAGCAGCCGCAGCCTCTCTTTCCCTTTCCATTCCATCTAAGCTGCAAACATATTGGTTGGTGCTAACCACACCCAGGTTGGGGTTTCTGTCTTCAGTAAATCCATTCAGCCACAGCCAGAGCTACACCTAAGCAACCAGTGGGCTAGTCCAGTATCAGACACCCTTAATCCAGTATCACACACTCATCATGATCCTGCCACCTCCCAAAGGCCCCACCTATGAGTCCATGAGGCTTTGGGGAGACATCTAAATATAAGTTGTATCAGTTACCAATGTTTTGTTTCCTTTAAAGATTGGATATATAAAAAATTAGAATTGGATTTTCTTTAAAAAATTTCTACGTCCAGACTTTATAATTCATTTTAGTAATTCATGTATTCATGCTTGCAGGCATTAACTTAGCAGGCAGGTGGACATGAGCACCTTGATTGAGCCATGGACCATGCTAGGTACTAGGAACACAGATGAATAAGCAAAGCTTGACCTGGACAGCCATAGCTTCCTCTCTCCGATGCTTCCCTGCCACCTTTGGGATCTTCCTTCTAAGTTCCCGTATCCCCTCCACTGTCACAGTTACCACATGTTTTGGATTATTTCTACATTTCCTTTGTCTCTGACTGTGAACTTTCTGTTGCTACATTCATTCATCTTTGCACCTGGAAGTGGAGGATGCTGACTCCATCTAGATGTGTTGTTGAAAGGATGCATAGCAGGAGGCACACCTGCCACATGGGTTATGCCCCAGGGGCTTCTCTGGCCGGGTGGTCTTCCTGAACTGCACTTTGCTTTTTTGCTATAAGACCCAGGGGTCACTCTGCTCCACTCTTCTTTTTAAAGCTGCAGCCCCTCCTTCTACCTTAGGGTTTTCGTTCCCCCACATTGACATTAAAGCGATACATAGCCACTTCTCACTACCACCCAATACTATCCATAAAGCTACTGTTTATTATTACTGGGCAGGGCAACCTTTTTGAGATGGCACAGTATGGAGAGGCATAGGTGTGGAACTGCAGGAGGCAATGAAGAGCTACAGGTGGGTTCACAGAGATGCGCTAGGCCCTTGTGACACACAGCTGCCAAGCAGTTTGAACTCCACTGTCCAACCAGTGGGGATCACTTACGTATTTTGTTAGGACTATTGGGGTGAATTACGTGATTATGTATTGTGGCTTGAGTGTTCTCAAGGGACCTTGGAGTCTTATGTGTACTCATTTGTCCTGGATAGAAGTGTCAAGATCTTAGCACAACTCCGTTTCTTCCGCAGGTTTCTGGGTGGAGCGCACTCCCGTGCACGAGGCTGCCCAGCGAGGTGAGAGCTTGCAGCTCCAGCAGCTGATTGAGAGTGGTGCCTGCGTTAACCAGGTCACAGTGGACTCCATCACACCATTGCACGCGGCCAGTCTGCAGGGCCAGGCACAGTGTGTGCAATTGCTGCTGGCAGCTGGAGCTCAGGTGAGTGGCCCTGCAGGTGAGACCCCCTTCCAGCTTGAATGCAGCTGCAGGGAAGGATGAGGCTGACTGGAGAGACCTTTAGAGGGAGGAAAAGAAGTGACTTAGGATTCACCTGTGTTGTGCAAATAGATGGACAGACTGAACACCTTGAGGGAGATTGCAGAGGAAAGGCAGGAAGCCTGCTGCAGGATGGAGTGTGCTGGAAGTTGAGGGAGGAGGAGGGTAGCCACCTATGCACTGCACGTTGAGGGCCAGAAAGCATTCATGGATTGAGCAGATCTTTTTGGTTTTTCGTTGTTTTGTTTTTGAGAAAAGGTCTTGCTATGTAGTCCATGCTGGCCTTGAGCTCATTCTGTATCTAAGGCTGCCCTCCAACTTGCAGCAATCCTCCTGCCTCAGCCTCCTGAGTGCTGGGATCACAGGTGTGTGCTGCCATGCCTGGCAGATTGGGTGTTTTTAAAAGCAAAATGATGGTGGAGGTGCTCCATTCTGCAGTGGCAGGTTCATGGCAGGCCAGCTGCATCCTAGGCACAGGCTGTCTAGGAGGAGGACCAGATGTGGGGTGCACAGCTGCTTCCTGGGCTCGGAGAACAACAGGATGATTAATTGGCGTGCTGACAAATTGGCTCTCAGAAAGTAAGAAGAAAATGAAGAAGAAAGGAACAAAGCCAAAATTCTGCCAGTGGTTTTAGCTTTCACAATTCCTGGCTGTTCAGCAGATAGCTCTGGGGAGCTAGCAGGAGCCGCCCCACAAACACTGGGTGGCTTATAATGAATGCAGGGCTCTGGTCTCAGAGTTCACAGGACAGGGAAGAAGCGAAGGTGTGAAGGCAGATAACCATCTGTTCTTGCCAAAAGTTTATAATGGAACAAGTTTCAGGCCCAACCTACAGGCTGAATTTAGACCAATTTTCCCCCCTCCTTCCTCCTTTCTCCTTTCTTCCTTCCCTTCCTCCTGCCTTCCTTAGTTAAAATGCTTTATTACCTGCAGATATTTTCTACATCCTTAAGTCTGTTTCTTTCTTCTGATCATTGGTATATCTTTGTGACACATAATCATATTCATCTTAGGGAATTGGTTATATAAGTATTATATATACAGTATATATGTGATATTATATGAACACAGTGAGTCAGATTTTATGAAATTGAAATATTTATTACAGTAAAATACAGGTTGCCATTATTTCCCCTCTAAATATTCCCTTTTAACTCAAACTCAGATTTCTTCTTTGTTATCACTTTCTTAAGGAAATTCTGGAAGTGTTCTTATTTGTGTGTCTAGTTTTGCTGTCACAGCTGTCTCAAGGTCCTGAACTGATTCAAAAGGTTTAGCTTTCTCTGGTTGTTTGAATTTGGAGAAAAGCCCAGAGTCACAGGGTACCAGATCTTGTGAATGAGGAAACACCTCCATGTTTTTAAGATCCTGCCTTTCCATTTGCTGATGCTTAGAATCCTTATTCACTGTATTCTTTTGTTTTTAAATCACAGCACCTAAAGACACTCAGAAAAAAGAACTTCCAAAACTGGTTAAAAAGAAAAAAGTGACAAGCACAAGGGGATAAGTTTGAAGAGGGAGAGCATTTTGAGGGAAAATTAATGACAATGTTTTTTATGCTAATAACATCAAATTTAAACACTCATCATATGTTTCAAACCCACCACATTTTTTAAGGATATATGTTGTTCTTCAAATAACAGAGGTGCTCTTATAAAAATATTTGGACAAAAAAATGGAAATATAAATGTTTCAGGACATTTTTTATAAATCTTGTAATAGAATAAAACAAGCCATCAATCTGGGTATATTTTTGTATTCATTTGCCATAAGACATCTGAAAATGAAAGTCTGCTAAAACACAGTTACAGTATTTATGCAGACAATGCAATTCATCCTATGTATTTAGAGATGCAAGAATTTTACATCAGAAAAAAAATTATGCTATCATAAAATTTTCTTTTTAGACTTCTGATCTTCCCCTTCCCTTTCTTGTACTTTAAATCTCTATTTTTCCATTTCTTTCCAGTCAGCACATATTAGGTTCTAATTTCTTTCAAATTTAAAGAATGAAAGTATTCAGCCGTCCTTGTTCAACCCACGGCTGAGCACAGAACCATGATCTTGCTCTCCTCCTTTGCAGCCTCTGTTCCCTCTTCCCTACAGCAGTGTTTACACAGGGTATGCAGGCTCCACTGAAACAACGCGGCAACGAACACCAAACGCGGCAAGGGACACCAAATGCCCCGTTTCTGATGATGCGGATACCTCCTTTCGTGTTTTGTTTTGTTTTGTTTTTTTCTTCTTCTTCACCATCTGAGGTTCATTTAACAAGAGTAACAGATTTCTTCCTCGGGGGAAAGAAAAAGACAACAAACGAACAACAATTTCCATT